CCCTAAAATACACTTACCGGTATTTAGCAGAAATGTAGTAAAAGCAATAAAATGATGCAGCGTTTTTTATTTTAGGGTATTGATTTTCAAAATTTTCAAAAATATGCCTATTACAAGAATATAACCATAGAGAGTAAATAACCTGAAATAGAGAGAGAGAGAGAGAGTATATAACCAGAAATAGAGACGAAATAAAGGCCATCCATCCCTGGCAACTCATCAGGCAAATGGGCCTTATATCACTTTTAAATATCAACTCTTGTTTGCACTGAAATCACAAATTAGAAAGCTGAAATAGTACAGCGCCAATAACTGACCTGTGTATACGTCTCCTTATAAATATTCTGTATTTATTGTAATAAAGCTAATTCTCTAACAAAGGGGGCTGTTCCATTCGGTGGTGTGGGAAAACAGCAAAACATGTAATTACAAAACAATAGGAATCACATTTCATCGAAAATAGAATATTAAACATGTAATTTTTCAATTGTTGTCCATTATAGCAAAACTCAAGGTAAACTGGTCGATTGAAGTGAAACAGTTGACGGCACAAATTGACGACACCCGTCAATTGTTTCGAATTCGGGCTGGCCAATCGGAGCGCAGTTGTCACCGTAATGTTTTGGTAGAATAATTTTCAAACAAATTAAATGACATTTTGTTTCAATTTCTGGTCATGTACTTGATAGCCTATTATCACTTAACTGACATATAGATTTTTAATTATATTTTGATCATAGCTGATGTAACCTGTAGGTTTACTACGAAATACGAAGAAACGATCATCGTTTTAGCTTCGTGTTGGTCCGATAGCTACCACGAAACACATACGAAGATCCTTACATAAGTCCTTAGACCGAAACGTTAAACGACAGCTTTCGTATTGAATTTTGACACTACTTACGTCGTATAATGTAGTACATATGAGCTTCGTCGCGGACGCAGTCACGTGGTAGACTTGCTGGCCTCTCGCCCGGTGTCCGCTTGACGTTTTATGGGACAACCTGTATAACGAATTATGATGGGAATAACACTTATTATTATTATTAATTCCCAGTAATATGGTCCATTTAACAAAACTCCTGTGAAGAAAGGATATTGTTAAATCAAAGTCAAAGTTAAATAACCATTTATTCAATAGGTAAATCTTTTACACTGGAAAACGTCATTTTTCGCTCGTTCACTGTGCTCACCTCCCTGAGAAGAACGAGCAAGAAACTCTAGAAATTGCTCTTTTTAAATAAACTTAAATGCTATAGAAATACACTTTGAATCATATTTGTGTGGAATCTAGACTCACGTCGTCTTTCCATACATCTTTATCTAACACGTAGTCTACTTTTGTATTATGACTTTTCAATTAAAATACTTTCAATGTAAGTCTTGAACTTAACAAATGATCATCTTAATATATGCGCCATAAACTTATTGTAAAATGATCTTGGACTGGTCCGTTTGCAGGTGGCTCTCCTCGTCACAGCATCTAGTCTTACCTACGCGGTGTCAGTACCTCTAGTCCTCTTGATAGAGCTGCCAGCCATTCAGCTGTGGAAGGCTCTCACCGAAGGCGGTCCACGACCTCCGCCGTCCCCGCGCGCGCCTACGCCTCCCTCGTTGGCCAAAACCTTCGACCTGGTTGCTCACATCCGGAGAAGACACGAAGTCTAGAAACTGCTAGTGGTTATTTTGTCAACATTCGCCAATAATTCACCATGTAACACGATTATTATTTCTTTCGATTACGTAAATGTCACTATGGAGCTATATATATAAATACAGCTGTGACTGCCATAAAAGCAAAATTCCAGGTATGTAGCTACTCTTTTCCACATATTTGCTGCTCCATTAAACAGAAAGAAATACTGTCAAACTAGAAACAACTTTTTTTAAATTTGTTACATAATTTAACAAATTAATGCCGTTGTCACACAGGCCAAACACTAACGAAGAGATGTACGGTCGAGGTATACTGTGTTTTTTTTTAATGTGACTGTATGGGTAAATCCGAAACAATAGAAGACAAGAAAACTGTCTTAAGCACCATTAAGTCTTTTATTGTAAAAACTTATATAATAATACATTGACCTACAATTATATGGACGTCGGGTCCGTGCTAAAAAGTGTCCGAACTTATAGGGCGTTAAAATCGTATACAGAGCGACATTCACGCTTTAGTCTTCGTTTGTTCGACTGACAGCGAAGCAAGCAAAATTAGACAGTACTGCGATGACATTACAATTTAAATTCAACGTTTTAGCTTTTTCATATTCCTTTACATGTCACTACGTTTAAATAGGTTGACTTGGGACATTTTTTTCGTGGTTTTTGTATTAGACCCGTCGTCCATTTATTTGTAAGTCAATGTAATAATATAATATAAATTTTAGTATAGTCAATTTTTTGGTCAACGGTGAATTGTCCATAAAAATGAATAAAATTGATGAAAATTTATTTTAGTGCTGCTTGACTCAGATTTATGTGAGGATCATTTCAATATATGGGATGAAAAAATCGGGACAGCAGTAGTCGGTCAAATTTCGTAAAATATTTTTCATACAAAATGAATAAAATTGACTATTTTTTTAATGCTGATAGACTTAACTTCTTTTGTGGATGATTTCATAGCATGGGACCACAACATGAGACGAAAAAAAATCGGGACATCTGAAGTTGGTCACATTTAATAAAATGATTTTTCATACGAAATCCTTTAAGTTTTTGTGAGTGAAATCTCTGAATGGCACTGTAACTGTAATGGTAGGAGCAATATAAAACTTGCACCTTGAGGTGTAACTTACACACAGAACTCCCATATGCTGTAGTTACACTAGCATCCTTTAAAACGGGAACACAAGTAATATTCACATTATTACTTGGCGGCAGAAATAGGTAAGATGACAGTATTTCACCGGTGAATTCTTTCACAAGACGCTCTGTTACTTTGTAATATTTTTATATTGATATTATTTATAGGGAAGAAGTTTAATTCGAATTTGGGATTGTGTCAATTTAGACGAGAACTGATTTGAAATTTGAAATCATTAACATTTCGTTAGTATATATATAAAGCCATATGTGATCAAAATGACAAAAGTCTTTTTGTCAAATGAAAATCATAAAAATAACACGAACTATACGGAACAAATTATATACCTATGTGTGAAATTTCATTAATCTCCCATTTAAGCATAAAAATTTACAGACTACATTTGTTCGTAGAATCTATAAACCTCTCCAGAATAGTTGCCATTTTCAGATATGGCCTTATAATACTAATGATGCCATTCAGTGGTTATGATAAATTATTATTAGAATAAAGTAATGACCGTTAGGGCGCGTTCTCATTATGTCGTAACGACAGATAGTCATGAAATTTAAAGTGTCGTGTCTTGTATATTTAAATGAAGTTGTTCACACATGGAACAACACGATTTACCATGTTATCGACTTTTTTATGTTACGGCGACCGTGATAATTAGAAGAGCTAGAACGATAGTCGTCGGATGATAAATAAAACGCCACGATAAAAACTGGGACGACAGATAATCGCAGCTTCAAACGATTCTGTCGTGTCGAACCAATAAACTGTCGTCACGATCTAGTGGGAACTGCAGGCTGATTTTAATTCCAATCGGAATCGACTCGATCGGGTAGCCCGTCGTCCGAGTCTCGAAATCAGATGGGTTTCCGAGCGAGAAGATGAACCTGATTCCTACTATATCTTTCTAATTTGTGAGTTAAATTAACTATTGTTCCGATTTGAAATGTCAAATGTTTCCGATCCAGTTGCGAATCTCAATTATGCACCTCGACTTGGAAGAGACGCAGTTTCCGATCGGGAGAGGCAATCAAAATCAAGCTGCAAATAGACACGACGATAAAACAAACGTCCACGACACAGTCACGACAGATAGTCGTGATATACGCGACAGTCGTCGATAAATAAAACATAACGACATAATGGGAACGCGCCCTTAGGTAGTTAAATAAGATTAGGGTGTTATTAAAAGTTTAGACTGTTAAAAAAATACGCAAGAGAAACCATACGATGACTAGATAATCTCTATTATTAATTAGTTATCTGTAAGTCTCGTACCCAGCAGTGGGACTATATTAAGTAGCCAAAGACGCATTTTTAAAGCCATTTCTATTATTGACTTCATTGACCAATGCGGGTTGGGGACTCCACAGTTTTCCGAGGTTGGAACCTTCTTCGACAAGGTTAGGCAGGTTTCACCACCACCTTCACCGGGAATTAAACGAATTGCTACTAATCATTAGTAGTTTAGACATTCAAAGAGTCGGATCGTGGACATTTCAACTGAGAAGCCACCGTTTTCCCACTGGACATATTGCAACCTTATTGGATGAACTTTGTCGATACAATTAAATCCCGAAATCAGGACCATTTACACGGAGAGAGTTCCTCGCCTCAAAGAAGCGGTTATTGAAGCAACAAAAAAGTTGTTTATGCAAAAATTGAATGTATAAATAACACTTATATTATATTTAATCAAATAATAAATAACAATATATGGCTGTTTCCTCATGCTCCTACTAGCAGGAGCTAATAAATATATCCTTATGCTCCTACTGGTCCAAAAGTATAAATATGTACTCGTTGTCAATTACAATTAAGCGATTAAAAAAAATACGAATACTTTCAGATATAGAAACTGCGAGCCTGGTTTTCTTTAGTTACTTCCATAGTTTATGACATATCGTCGCCTTACCTTCTCAAACTCGTGTCTCAAAGCACAAAGTGACAAAAGTGAGGCATCGATATGGCATTTTGCTTGGAACTAGGGGACTACTCGCCATTTTCGTTAATACATCATTTTCGTGAACAGGTCAATTTTGAAACTCGTCATTTTTGGGCCTACATATATATTTGTGTACATACGTAAATAAACTTATACTTACGACCGAGTTAGAAAATATTTACGCAATTCAGCGAATCGACTTAGAATGTCGGATTAATTTTATTGTCTCAGGTTTTTGTCGCACCGTCGTTGTTTCCGATTTCCATAACACAAATGCGTTAGCTACTTACCTTGGGGTCCGAGCAACGTATGCGATGTTGTCGAACATTTATTTATTTAAATAACCCTGTATACAAGCCTAGAACTCGTAAGCAAGCCGTACCTGAGATTCACTACACTGTACGTGCTATTTTTGTAATTTTACAGGGGACGCGATTTTGCGTCGAAATGCAGCATGTATAACATTTAGAATGGCTTGAAATAAAAGTAATTGAGTTTTAATAACATTTCGATCTACCTTAATTGGCGTACAAACTGCTTTTCGACACAAAATCGCTTCCCCCGTAAAATTACAAAAATGGCGCTTACAGTGTAATGCTTCTCAGGTACGGCAAGGATCTCCATACTACATATTTCGCTGTATAAACAGTCGTAGTAGGCAATAGTTACTTGGGGATCTCGTGTAGACATAATCGTAGGCGAGATTTTAATTTTCACCTGTATCTAAACCTTTTGATACGATAATTTTTTGGCGATTGTTGCTTGGCGATAGCAGCGTAGGATTTCTCTCTCCGTAAACTCTCTCCGTCTTAATGGCCCTTTAAGCCATAATTAGTTTTAATTTCTTTCGATTTCTGCGAATGAATTTATGCAAGGACTTTGATTTTAAATGTAGGTTAAGATAATTTCTTTAAGAATTGTTGTTAATTTAATTTAAGTTATAAATAAAGTTTCCTAAAAATATGCCATTTCTTTTATATGTATTTATATACTATTCATCTCCTTTGATTTCTATGAAACAGAAAAAGAAAAGGAATGAAAAAAGTCTGATTTTAAAAGTTTGTGGAATTACCTCTCAGTTACCAGAAAATGCTCGAAACCGGATTCACCTCTAATTTACCGCCCTTAGAGGTGAGATAGGACCAATCTGAGGTACCCTCTTTCCAATAAAAGAATCATCAAAATCGGTTCACAAATGCCGGAGTAATCGCGTAAAGTAAACACACTATAGGGTAAGTGTGGGTAAGTGTAACAGCGTACTGGCCAATCCTACCTCCAAAGTCGCCAGACAGAAAAGTAAAATGTAAATAATTGTCAGTATTTATGTACTGATTTGTATGTAGTGTGTTTGAGTGGTGCTATGCTCCTATGTGGGTGGCATATTCTGTTAAGAACAAACCCTCTAATAAATAGAGAAAAAAGTAAATACAAAAAAATACAGTCGAATAACCTCCTCCTTTTTTGAAGTCTGTTAAAAAGAACAGAAAAATGAAAGGAGACATTTGGGTTTATAGAAAAATGGAATTTTTTTTGGAAAATTCTACAAAGATTTATATTTCTACACGTGTTTCGTAGACTCTTGACACCTTCCTTTCGCGTCACTTCCTACGGATTGGCCAAACTGTCGTTGGTAGGTCAATGTCGTCGGTAGACATCTCCGGAAGACACACGACTCATTGTTTAGCTCGTACTACCTAGTTTGTACGTTACACAGTTGACACAATCCTTTCGATTTATTGCGTGGCAATGTAAATTGATATTACAATTTTCTGAAGGTAACTGTTTTTTTTATATAATATCTAGTGACTGCACGAACGAGTCGTGCGCCTGATGGTAAACTACACGCTTGTCCATAACAGTTGCAGTGCCACTTAGAGCACCATCACTCAGACAATTGCAAAGATCTGAGGGGCACTGACACTACGCCCATCACCCGGAGACATAAGTTGACAAGTCCCATGAGCCTGTAAATTCACCAGCACCCTTACTCTTCAACACTGGAAGCAGTAATGCTGATATTACTGCTTGGCAGCAGAAATAGGTGACGAATTCTTCGACTTCCCTAGACGAATTGTTTCACCAGGGGCTCTATTGCTACTGTGTTGGTCATTAGCGGTTATTATAAAGAATCCATTCTCATTTCAATTGGTAAGGTCTAACACTCCATCCCAGTGTCGATTCATAAGGACTATTTATGTTGTAGTTTGTATAATTCGTGTGGTATCAGATTTTATAGCATTTTCAAGTTGTCTGTTTTATTTTATGATACTAAG